AAGGCATTCAAGAGAAATTTAGACAACCACCTGGCAGATATCCTTTGATTTGTATTCCTGCACTGAGTGTGGAGTTGGACTCGATGGCTTTAGAGGCAACTTCCAACTTAATGATTCTATTTTTCTAGGAAGCGACAGGTCTGAGTTTACAAAAGCTGATCAGGACAGTTGAGGACAGTACATTTTGCAGATTGCTCATTCATGGGGTTGCGGCTTGACAGCACAGAACAACAATTTGTTTAGGTAAGTAGTATGTTTCTGTGGACTTATTTACAGACCATGTTCATCTTATGTTCTTCACAAAGCTCTTTCTATCATCAGCAATTTAAGCAAAAATGTACAGAATTCATTTAATTCTCATCTTTTACACATCTTCATTAAGCACATTAAGTACAAAATTATAATTAAAAGATTATATTGGTTCTTTGACAAGACTACCAACTGTACTCCATCAACCATCTTCCATAGTACAGTATCTGTTCCTATATTTCATGAAACATAAAATTATTTTCCTACACCTCAAATAAGTGGAAATATGTGCAGAGTTGTTATTTTCAGAATTAAGGAACACTTATTCCTATAATTTAGTGGGAATTCCCCCCAGGCAGAATTACAGGTCTGGGAGCCCTCATACCAGCAGGAGGTACAGCAGTTCCCTCACCTACATTTCTGTGCCACTTCTTCATATCACTAAAAAAGTGCCCCACTGCATATGTGGGAGTCGCAAAGATTCCTAGCAACTTACAAACGTGCATGGAGGAACACGTTCTGATGTAGCCAAGAACAACCTGTCAGATTACTTTTTTACGTTTCATTCAATATACATTAGTTTTGGAGAAATATCTGCATTTATTGTATAAGTACATATTTGATCTAGTTTAATAATATGAACTGTAATAGCACTGTAAGAGTTAGAAGTTAAAAACAAAGAATAATGCAGAGAAGATGGAGAGAAAGATGTCAGAATCAAGAAAAGATTCAGGGAGATAAAGAAGCTAGAAGAAACAAGGGATAAGGATGCACTCTGAAATACAGTGGTGCCTCGCTTAATGATTACCTTGTTAAACGACGAAATTGCTTGATGATGAGGTTTTTGCGATCGCTTTTGCGATTGCAAAACGATGTTGTAATAGGAAAAATTCGCTTCATGATGATCGGTCCCCTGCTTCGGGAACCAATTTTTTTGCTAGATGACGATTTTCAAACAGCTGGTCGACGGCTCTAAAATGGTCGCCTGCTGTGCAAAATGGCTCCCCGCTGTGCTTTAGGACGGATTCCTCGCTATACAGGAACTGTAAAATAGCCGCCCCGTGGAGGATCTTCGCTTTATGATGAGATATTTAGCCCATTGGAACACATTGAAGGGTTTTCAATGCATTTCAGTGGTTTTTTTTTTAATTTGCTTGACGATTTCGCTTAACAGCGATTTCACTGGAACGGATTAACGTCGTCAAGCAAGGCACCACTGTATTGTTTTCATGGGTTAAAATCAGGGGTGGCCAACGTGACACAAGTGCTGCCTGTGGGGGCTCCTTTTGCAGCCCACAGATGCCTGGAAGGGGGGGAACCTCCTAATTTCTTTTTTCAATTTCCATGTAGGGAGGCTTGCAAGAATGGGAGATTTGCAATAAAATGGGATGTAGACTACACTAGCCTTTCAAACACCCCAACCCCTTCACTACAATTTCTTCAAAGTATTTTGATTATTTTGTGTCTCCAAGGAATAGTGCCTAGAGCAGGGATCCCCAACCCTCAGTCCGTGACCTGGGCACGAATGGGCCGTGGACACAGATCTCCTGCCCCCCTGTGAGTGCCACTGTGCACATACGCATGAGCGCGCGCCACCCCCTGCAAGCATGCTGCACGCAAGCGGGGGGCCCACGAGCACCACCACACGCATGCATGCACTACCCCCTGCGGGTGTGCTACCCCCTTGCAAGCATGCCATGTCCCCACAACTGGTCCGCAGATGCGAAAAGGTTGGGGACCACTGCTGTAGACTATCCTGACTGAAATGGGGATCGTCAACATTCAGGCTACCCTTTGCTATTGTGGATGTGGCATCCTTTTTCCTGCTAGCAGCACAGGCACAATATTGTACAACAATATCAGGCCATTTCCTTGTGTTTTGAATTGTGGATACAGAAGCACAAAATCCCACATTCATAAAATGGACTTTTATTGAAGAACTGAATGAGTAATATAGACAGTCCAGGTATGGGGAAATCATTTTGGAACTTTGTGCACTTATCCTGCTTTCTAAGGTTTTTACAAAATCAGGTGGCCATCTGTTCAGAGATAACTATGTGTCTTTGAGCTGCAGATAGCCTTAGAATATTAAATAACTACAACCTCTCTTACAACTTCCTTTGCAACTGTAAAACTGAATACTTTTTACATGAAAATAGATCAGTTGGATACAGAACACAAAATAATTTTAGCTACTATTAAACTGATAACTCAGTGATTTATATATCTGGCTGAGACGCCAGAGGTTGGAAGTTTGATTCCCCACTGTGCTTCCAGGGAGAAGAGCCAGTCTGATGAAAAATAAAATAATACGTTTATGTATATAATACAGATAATTCTGTTCGTAAATTGAAACTACATTAGGCTATCATACAAATACTGTAAAGCAGAGTTCCACATCATTAGTTTAAAATGTAGTACCTTGGTTTATACAATTAATGAGTTCTCTGGAATGTTACATAATGCGAAAATTTAATAAACCGAAATGTGCATTGCTATAGGTATGGGGGCGGCACTACAAACCTCCAGGCACAATGCATTCTGGAGTTACATTATTTGCAAATCAAAAAAAGGGGGGAACCATAAGGCATTGTTTTCAACAGATTTCAGTTTGTAAACTGAAAATTACGTTAAACGAGGTGTTCATAAACCAACGTATGCCTGTACATGGCTTCTACTGGTGTGAGCAAATAGTTGAAATAAATTTTCACCTCATCTACATTAACCAGTCTCAAATGTTACTTTCTTCAGTAGACTTATGCAGCTTTTGCTGTGAAATTATATCAAATCTTTCCCCCCCTTTCTCTCCCTCTCCAACAACCTTCAGGGCATAACTAGTTTATCCTCAAAAATGAACTATTATTGAAGGAATGGAACAGGAGCTTTAGTTTTAAAGCAAGCTTACTTTTTCAATGAGCCTTAATACCCACAGGGCCAACAGCAAGGTGCCCATGATACTGACAGACAGTTTTCAAAAAGAAAGGCTCAAACTCTGAACCCCTGTTAAAAGCCAGGAAGAATTTGTTATAGCAGCTTTTATATTATTGTTGAATAGCCATCCAGAAATGTTTATTAAGGAAACATACAAGAAAGTCAGCAATAGCTAAGCTTTTGCTAGTTCCTTTAGCTAAGAGACCTTTTCCAATCTTCTTGTTGAGCTCCTCCTCAGAGCAATACTTTATATCTAAAGGAAGGACATGATATAGCTATTTTTAAGACTCTAGTACAGGTGTCCCCAACTCCTGGTCTGCAGCCCGCTGCCAGTCAATGGCCTTCGTAGGACCGGGCCGCAGAGACAGATCTCCTGTCCCCCGCACGCACTCCCATCGCACGCCCACCAGCATACACAGGTGCACCGCTCACCCACACATGCACACAAGCGCACCCCGCTCACCCGCCAGACCCATCAGTGCATGCTTGCGAGTGCACCCTGCACACCCGCGAGTGCACCCATGCATGCGCCTGAGTCCACCACACCCACCCGAGTGCGCCACGCCCACCCCCGAGAAGAGTGCCCCTGCCTCCCTACACACGGATCCCACACCCCCAACCAGTCCGCGGTTTGGAAAAGGTTGAGGACCACTGCTCTAGTAGACCATCGCTGATTCACTATATCACTTATTTTAAAAATATTTTAAAATTTCACCTTGTCTGAAGCGCTGGTCATGAAACTGCCTGCAGCACATCAGTGATGGTTTATTATAGTCTTAATTTTTCCCACTTACCCTGCTCCTCCACCAAGGAGCAGAAGAAGTGTTCAATTTACTGATATCTTTAAGTGGTTTGATTATTTAACCACTTCACTAAATCAGAAATTTTATCTCCTGTTTTAATATTTAATTCTTTTAAATATTGTAATAATGTATTGTTTTTAGCTTTCAATACCGTTTCTTTTTTAATACTATAAACCAATTCGGATCTTTTTAAAGATAAAGGTAGAACATAAGTATTTTAGATGGATACAGAAAATGACTAGAGCTCCCAATTCACCAGGAATTTCCTCAGCCAGAATTCTGGTAGCTGTAGCCAAGTCATCAAAGTCCTCTGAGCTTCACAGAGTCCTGTCTCTGAAGCATGAATAAAAAGGAAATGGATGGGAGTAGCTAACCTCCATGGGAGCTGCAAGAAATTAGGGGACGAAAACCTTTTTGAGCTACACCTTTTACAGAGCCTAATGAGCAGAGATTTGATCCCCTAATCCTGCACAGTTCCCACTCATTTCCTTCTCCTTAAGGCAAATGGTGGCTCCAGAGGGAGATTTGCCAGGGCTTGCTTTGAGGACTTGCTTTTTTTTTTTTTTTTTTTTTTTGGCTACAGCTAACACAACTCTGGTTGGAAAAATTTCTGGAATTCTGGGAGCTGGATTTTAAAAAAGGAAGAAGTCCAATGCCTAATGAGGAGGCAATCATGAGCTTGGTCACCTGCAAAGAGCACCCTAACAAACTGCAGCAGCAACTTTCTCAGCTGGAGTTCCACATGTGCATAAATATTAAACAGGGCACTTGCTACCGTAAATTAGTATAAAAGCTTCTCAAAATTGTTACTTACTGAAACTGATGGAAAACAGAAGAAAGAGCTGGAAGAAGACCAAACAAGAGGTAGATTTAAAAGCCTGAGTAACATTCATATGTTGGAAGAACCACAACTGTGAAGAATACACGAGAAACTTCAGCTCCTGTATTTTCTATATAGAAAACGATACATGCATTTATGGAAGAATAATTAGTGTAATGAAACCAGAGTCTTAGTACCTTGAAGGAAGTCAAACTCCATGTGCTAGTCAGCAAAGGAACCTCAAAAAGTCATGGTAAAACTTCTAATGCAGTCAGTCATTTGTTGAATTACATCTTTGTCTCATAACATGAAAAATAATCTTGAAGCTGAAATATAGACAAAATAAAAAGTAAAATTAGCTCCATTATGAATAACAAAATTTCCATGAATAACATGAGCAAATATTGTTTGCTTTTCTAAATCAAACCAGTATATTCCAAAGCAATTTGGTTACATATTCTTTTTTGCATTCTATATCTAATGCCTTCCCCAAAGCAATAAAGCAAAGGTTCTGGTCCCAAAATTATAAGGGCAAAACACACAAAGGATCTATGCTCATCTGAGTTATTTCTTTGATAAATGAAAGAATCAATTAATGTTTTAAAATAATTACACTGGGTAAAGTGAGTAGGACCCAAACACTAGGCCTTCTGCTTTTACTGCAAGGACTTTAAAATGCTATTTTAAACACTTATACAAATAAAAGAAATTTAATTTGAATGCATCTCCAAATTACAACAAAGCAATTAGCGAAAACTACCCAGTCTCAGATTCCCAGTGTTGTATAGCAGGTAAGAACTGACAGACTAGGACTCTGGAGAACAGGGTTTGAATCCCCATTTGGCCATGGAAACTCACTGGGGGAGCAAAACTGGTAAAATCACTTCTTAAATATCTCATTTGAAAGCCCTAGAAGGGTCTCTATGTCAGTTCCAACTGGACAGCACAGAACACACACAGAGCCCTAGGGCACTCTCAGAAGGAGAGAATGGTAAACCATTTGTGAATACAGTACTGTCTACCTGGAAAACCCTGAAATGCACTGCCGTATGTCAGAATTGACTTGACAGCACATGATTATTACCACCTACTGTTAGCAAACTGAGAGCATCTTCCAAAGGACATCAGCAACCCTCCTGTGAAAACTTTTTGTCAGTCACAAAATCTAGAGACTGCTTGTAAGAGTCATCCTCAAACCACCAGCCAATGATCTTGGATCACAAATTTCTGATTCCAAATACTGTACAACACGTGTGACTACAAACCTACATCAAGATTAAGAAATAGTTAAGTTTACCATCTTAACTAAGAAGTTGGAACAACCATTGCCTCTAGACCCTTCACCTCTAAACACATGACGGTCTATCTGTCCTGTCTTCAGTTCAAACAGAGATACCATCACATCTGAACCATTAGAATAGAGCAAAAACTTCCAGATTTAAAGACTGGCTACCTTACACTTAATGGCCTGAACGGAGGAGGCAACACATGAATGGCATCATTCATCTGCCTTGGAATACTCTGTCTTCTAAATTCTATAACTACTGCTTCAGAGATGGCACACTTTTACCAGAACAACTGAGGAAAGTCCAAATACTTCTATAACTGCATTCATGATTTGTTTTCAGGGCTGTTAGTTCACTGCAGCACAATCGATGAAAACTCTTGTGGCGTCTTTAAGACTACTAGGTTACTATCAAGTTTTGTTATAAACTTTTATGGACTATAAACCACCAGCTATGATGCTAAAAGTTTATTCTACATAAAATGTGTTAGTCTTATAGGTACCACAAGACTTTTTGTTATATGTGATTTAGCATTCAGTCCTGCAAAAGGGAAAAAGAAATAATAAAACTTGATTCCAGGAGCTGGAATTCCCTCCACAAACACCCACTTTTTGCAACTCTCTTCTCAGTAACTATGACCATATGTTGAAGAGCTGATATAACCTAGCAATTTTAAAGCTGTAAAGTGCACATAAAAATAAGGGTGAACTGTGGTAGAAATTAAAACTATTGCAAGTGCCCCTCCCCTGCTTCACAAACAGCAGCATTCCAGCCTTGTTGTTGCAGATACTCCTTTAAATTTTTGACTTTCTATTTAAGAAACTAACAAGTTAACTCAAGCACATCAACCAAGGTTCATGGATGTAGGAGGGGAAATGCCACATTACTTAATGCTGACACCACATGCATTTCATTGGATGAGGAATGGTTCTCTTCCTTTATTAGAGCTAAGCTTTTTAAAAACACTTCTGATGCCTACATAACTCTCAGGGATTAATATTAAATAGCGTTTGTGCTAGCCAGCTAGACTGCACTCAATAATCACTTTTCAACCACTATGGTCACCTGAATAGGCACACAGTCATTCCAGGCAACTATGCAGAGACTTCAGTGACTTACTGTGCTGTAGTAGTTCCCTTTTAAGTGCTCAAAGAAACAGAAATCGTTGTTTAATTATTTCTCCATTGAAACGTTACTGTACAATTCAAGAAAATCTTTAAAATATTTCGACTTAACCTCTGGCTACTTTTCCAAACGGACTAAATTTAAGACTACTGTACAAAGTTACTGCAACCTTCCCAAAATGTAGCGGCTGAGGGAAGAAGAAATACTGTATTAAAACTCTGACTCCAAAAGTTGTAATCTGAGGGGGACGACCTACCACTACCGCCCTTCAAGCAAGAACAGGCTGCTACAGTCTCGCCCCGAATTACGATTTGTGGGTTGATGTGGAAAGTTTTTCCCCTTTCCCTTGGGAGTGGATTTCCTTTTAGTGTGGGCTATGAATCTTTCTAAATTTCTCTATTTTACAAGACGAAACTTCAATTTTTATAAAAGGGGGGGGGAAGGAAAAGGAGAAAAATCTGTACCATTACCAGAAGACCGACTTTGGGGGTTTGTTTGTTTACATTTTCCGTAGCTTTTTCAGGTTGAGACTTTGCTTTAAAAGAGGGCAGCCGATTACAAACGCTGCCGTAAGGCTGTTTTGAGGCAGGGGTGGCGGTAACCCCAAAGGTACTGAGAAGCCCTACCCCCACCCCGAAAACTTATTTAGGATTGGGAATGATAAAGGGAGATTATCCCGCTCCCACCCACGAGTTCCTTCTCCCCATACTGCGCCCCCTCCTCCTCCTCCTCCTCCCCCATGTCGATGGAAGGCTTTCATTCTCTCCGAGCTTGTCTGGGGGAATTTACCCAGCGACTCCGAAGAACAAGACGGACCCCACGGTTTGTTGCCGGTCTCCGCCCCAGTGGCGGCCCAGCCGGGGAGCTAAGGGGAGACAATGGCTACGATGACTTCACCCTCCAGCAATGTGAGGAGCACCAACGGCCGCCGCCTAATCCTCTCCCCCCCCCACCCCCGCCTGAACTCCCGAGAGTGGCGGCGGCGGCGGACAGGAAGGAAGCCGTCCATAGAAGCCCTCAGTCACCACGGCCAGTTCGGTCCAAGAGCCTCTCCCACCTCTTCCCCGACGGGTCGTTTCTTCAGTGCCTTCTCTCTCCCCCACGCCCTGCCGCTCCCGGTCGACTTTCAACACCTCAGGGCGGCTACTCGTCGCCACTTTTTTTGGGGGGGGGGCGCACAAAAGAGGCCCTCCCATGCAGTCGTTACGAGCCCCCCCCCCTTCCCCCGGTACCTTTAACTCCAGAGAAGCAGCAGCGGTGGTAGCGGTGGCGATGGCAGGAGCAGCAGCAAAAACAACCCCGCTCCGCCCGACTGGGCCCTTACCCGGCCCAGCACAGGAAGTGCCTGTGAGGGGGAAAATGAAAGCCAGCGAGATGGGGGTGGGAGAGCCGTGAGGGGGAAGGGAGGCGAGGCGAGGGGAGGCGACCAGGCCCCAGGCAGGGCCGGGTTGGGCTCGGGCTCCGGCTCTGCCCGGCCAGGAGGAGGAGGTTTCCTTCTCTCTTTCTCCCCCCGCTGAGATCACAGACAAGGCGGGGCCGCCTGGTGGTTGAACCCGGTGTCTGTCCCGCGGGGAAGGAGGAGGAGGGAAGTCTCGTGGATGTGAGGAGAAAGAAGGCGGCATTTTATATACCTACAGTACTGAAGTTGGCAGTCCCTCCTGCGCTTCTTCTGCCTCCTCAGCGGCACCTGAAGAAAAGCCCTGTTAAGAAACATAAGCCAAAGGAGTCTAGCGACCACTGAAAGAGCCTCAGTGTGTAGTTAGGTTGCCTATATTTACCTGGGAGTAAGCTGCATAGAACGGAGTGGGGCTCACTTGTGAGTAAACATGCATGAAATTGTGACGTAAAAGTTCCAGGCTCTGCAGTATTCAGCCGAACGAAGGATCCAGCAAGACTCCACAGCTCGCCTGTTCGTGATGTTTTGTTTATTTTGACCTTGTTATGTGCCTCGTTTGAATTGACGAGCTTTACTTTTAGTGGTCTAGTAAATGTTTTTTGCGGGGCTGCTGGAATCAGTATGCTAATTTTAAAGAGTGCCACCATACATTTGTTTGTTTATGGTTTATCTTAATTGCCTGCTGGAAAAGATGTATGTTGCCTCTTACTCTGGAGGAACTGTACGCCCATCTGGATAAATAGTCATTGATGGCCTTATCTTCTAGGAGTTTTCAGGAAGACAAGTAAAGGAACAGGCTTCCTTGAATTGGGTGAGACCTTCTGAATAGGATAACTGTTTGTATTCTGTCACTTATTTTCTTGCAAAATAGAAGGGCTTAAGGAAAGGGCCTTATTTTGGACTATGTATAACTCCTATAATTCAAATGCCATAGGCCATAGTGGCTGGGGACTTTTGGAGGTGTAGTTCCCAAAAGGAAATTTTCCAACGGCAGCAGTAAGCCTGTTCAGCCACAGAGAATTTTAGGCTTTAATCTGCCTCCGGGCTCTTTGTACATTGTTTAATACTTGTTCTGTATCTTCTTACATAGTTCAGCCTTTGTAAGCTGAAATTGAGTGCTTTCTAAAATAAAATAATAGCACTGTCCTAAGCATTTGTATTCAGAGTTAAACATATGGCCAGGTAAATCTGTTTAGGATTGCAGAATGTTCAGGCTTGATTAGAATGATCTAATCAACCCGGACTTTTCACACAGAAATGGCTCCTCTCAATATTGTGAAGTGGCTTAATAAGTGAGCTACTTCAGGATACAGTATTGGCAAATTAATCACTTCCCTTGCTTGGCAGGGGAATTGAAAAAATGAGTGTATAAGTTATTACTGAAGCACTCACATCAATAATTAAAAGAATTTTAAAAAATCTTTTCTTTGTATTTAATTAACTTAAAATATTTTTATTCCACCTTTCTCCTTAAAAAGGACCGAAGGCGGCTTCTCTTAAAGGGCCAGTCAAGAAACTGCCTACAGCCAAAACCACTTGCTTATTAAATCACTTCACACATACTGGAACCAATCCAAATCAGAGCAATCCTACCTGCACCAGAAAAATAGAAACCCCTTGACAAGGACCAGAAAGGTATCTAGATATATAAAAGACAAAATAGGTTTCTACTCAGAACAAACGATGTTTGATAAGCTTTTATTAGGTTCAAAAGACAAAATTGTTAAGAAAATGTATAACTATCTGTTAGAAATTAAAATGCAAGATGAAATGGTTAAAGAATGTATGATTAAGTGGGCACAAAACATAGGGCATAATATTGATGTTGATCAGTGGTCGAAAATACGGCAAAATAATATAAAGCTTACAAGATCGGTTAATTTTAAGGAGAATACATACAAGATGTTTTATACGTGGCATATGACTCCAGAAAAACTGTCGAAGATGTATACAGATGTATCAAATGTGTGTTGCAAATGTGAAGCACAAGTGGGGAGCTATTATCATATGTGGTGGTCATGTAGAGTAGCGAAACAGTATTGGAAAAGAGTACACGCTATGTTGCAACAAATATTGCTTTGTAAGGTGCCATTAATCCCAGAACTGTTTTTATTGATTATGATATCTGATAACATAGATAAGACAAAGGAATATATAGTTATATACATAGTTACTGCAGCCAGAATTCTCTATGCCAAAAATCGGAAAAGTCCGATGGTACCGAAACAAGAAGATCTTATAGAGGAGATATGGGAAACAGCGGAAATGGACATTTTATCAGAAGTGATGAAGGACTGTCCTTTACAAAAGGCAACAGAAAGATGGGACTTATTCTATAAATGGACTGAGTCAACAGGCAGCGTATGAAGAGCATATATTGAAATGAGAACTTAAACTTGGAAGGCAGAAAATAGTAAAAAGACTAATTTGGAATTTTGATATGGCAATATATATAGAATGGACGTTAGTACTGTATGTTATTGTTTCTCCTCTTCCCATTTAACCTCAATTCCCCTTTTCCTTTTTGTCATCCCTTGTTAAAAAAAAATTTTTAAAAAAGACAAGGACCAGAAAGTTGTGGGTAGGAACACTGTAGGGGCAGACTGATGTGCTCTAGCAAAGACCTCCTCTGATCACTGTTTTTAAGAGAGCACCAGCCCACACCTGCAAACACTCCAAATAGTGGGCTAAACAGCGGGTGTAGTCATCTTCTAAGTTTATTATCGCGCACATTCACAGAGGCAGGGAACTGACACATTTAATATTTATTAGATAACCAAAAATTTATTTCTTTGTGCATTCAATGACAGATAAACATCAGCTGCTAACTATCTGCTTGGAATGAAGATGTTAAAAGTATAGCCTTATCCTGGAGAGGAGGACATGCCAGTCCGGTGTACTACAAAATAAGCAACTAAACTAGCACACTGTAACATGTCATATATTATATTGACTTAGAAGAGTCCATGCTGGATTAACTTTGGCTGTTAAAAGCTACCCCAAAACAACAGCCCCATCAGAGTTTTTATACCGAAGAGAAACAAGTAGTGGTGCTTTAGTTGGACTATACCATTTCAGAATAACATGGGCACCTCTTTAGAAATAGACATTGTTTCAAAGTAGCACAATGCATATAGGGGGGAAAAATCACATTCCAGGGAAGAAGTTGGGATAACCCATCTCCTAGACACTAGTGTTCTAAATGCAAGATGTTTTTGATCCTATTATTTTTTTAATGGAATAATCAAACATGGCAACTCCTACTTATGGTTTGAACAAATACTGCCCAGGAAAATACCATAAGATTGGATTGCATGTGTAAACTGGGCTTTACAACTTCTTGATATGCCTAGGGGCATTTGTTTTGACAGTGGCACACAAGTGTATTGGAAATACTATTAGAAGAAGAGGACTGACAAACTGGAACAAGTTCAGAGGAGGCCAACAAGGATCATCAGGAGGTTGGAAACCAAGCCCTGTGAGGAAAGACTGAAAGAACTCGGCATGTTTAGCCTTGAGGAAAAAAAGATTGAGAGGAGATATGATAGCACTTTTCAAATAGAGGAGGGGTAGGATCTCTTCTTGATCATCTCAGAGTGTGGGACAAGTAATAATGGGCTCAAGTTGCAGGAAGTCAGATTTCAGTTGAATATCAGGAAAAACTTCATGTTAGAGCAATACAGGAAGGGAAACATGGTGCCTTGAGAGGTAGTGAGTGCTGCAACACTAGAAGCATTCAAGAGAAAATTAGACAACCATTTGTCAGATATACTTTGATCTGGATTCCTATGTTGAACAGGGCTTGGACTCAATGACCTTACAGGCCTCTTTGAAGTTCATTATTCTATGATTCCACTATGCATGAGCTCACCTTACAAAGACATACAGTTTAGAATCATTCTCTTTTCCTTCTCACCCACACAGCTGTAATTAATTTCTCTCTCCAAGTCAGGGCATCCATGTGGGTGAGACTGAAAGAAAACTGCATAGGTCATCATCTATAAACACCTCCTCACACCTACATTCTCTCATGAAGTGCTCTGTAATAGTATTTATTAATAGGTTCCCACATTTGTAATTTCTCTGTAAGTCTCAGAATATTAGTGTATACTATTTCCAAATAGGACATATTCCTTCAAGCCCACACACAAATTCTACCTCCAAAAGCAATTTTAAAGTTTCTTCCCAATAATTTTAATTCTTTTTCCAATCTTTCCTTTGTAAATCCAGATGGACAATCTTCCTCTCTGAACTTCCAGCACAAGGAATGCAAGATTAAACATTCACAAACTACCTGCAGTATATACTTATCAATCTGCTTTATGAAGAAATAATCTACAAGAGCCTAATATCAGGTTGACCATATGACCACTTACCTGGGTGCAACCTCACTGAAGGAGTACTTACCACTTAGTAAATGTGCATTGAGGCAGCCTACCTGTGGCCTTTTTATTTCCTGCATTGACACAATAATACCATCACTCTGATTTTTCAGTGCCCATATAAATGTCAGAATTTTTGTGATTAAGAAATACCACTCCTAATCTTCTGCCAAAAAAGTTTATAAAGATACATTTGTATGACTGATAATGCTTGTCTTTGACAAGAACTGATCCATAGGAACAGAAGGATGTATCCCATCTATGTTTGAATTAAACAGTCAACATATTTCAAATTAATGATTTGTATTACTTGTTACATACTGCATTACCTGTATGTTCAAACTAAAACCAGTAAAACCTACATCATTGTTGTAGGTTTTTCAGGCTGTTTGGCCATGTTCTGGAGGTTTTTCTTTTTAACGTCTCACCAGTCTCTGTGGCTGGCATCTTCAGAGGAGATGTTTCACCAAAACATATCAAAGAGGACATGGAGTTATATGGAACTCATTTATTAATGTTACAAGTATGGATGCTAAATGTAAAACATTTACTTCATTTTAAATATAATTACTGTATATCAGCATAGTGAAGAAAACTGCAGGCAGGTAAACCATATACCTGTTCAAGCTACGGTCCAGGAACTTAATGCTTATGGGCAGTGCGGTCCTTTCAGCTCATTGGGGGAAAGGTGGGAGATAAATGGAAACCTCCCTTATGGTATACAAGGGAGTTTGTGTTGTTTCAAGTATTATTGTCATAAAGATGATCCTGTACAGATGTTACTAGTTTCCCACCATTGTTTACCATAATCCAGACTAACATGATGTGCCACAAAGGCAAAGCAAGCACTAGAAACATAAGGAGAGGCAGAAACAATAGCTTAAGTAGGCTATACATCAAGTTACAAAACATGTAAATTTTGTTATGCCGGACAATCTTGGAATAAAAGTATGAATGGACACAGATCTGGCATCAGGAACAGCAACACAGAAACAGCCAGTTTCAGAATTCTTCAGCCTCCCTGGACAGTCTATTATGGATCTCAAAGAAAAAAGAAATTACAAAGACAGGTTGGAGAGGAAGACAGTGGAAATTAGCTACATCGACAAATTCTAGTAAATTGTTAAGGGCCAAAGTGAAAATTAAAGGCTCTTTGCACACTATATTTATAACCCAGATTTCTATAATATGCCTATAAAAGAGTTTTCTCCCTTGACATGCTCTGATTCTTTTCCAGAAACAACTTTTATCATTTCTGTGACCAACCGTCTAATCTGCTTAGCATAAAGCTTATCAGTGGCCTGCAGTTTTAAGTAATTAACATTGTAATAGTCCCATTCCTGTGTTAAGGGTGCACTGTCACTTTGTCTATTGCCTCCCCACCACCACCATCACAGGAATACATATAAATAGAGAGGTCATAGTACCAGTACTATGTTTGAAGGAGTGGGTTTTGAGTCACAAAAACTCACAGTGAAACACTGGTAGCTTTTAAGATAATGCAATATTTGTCCTCGCCCACCTTTATTCCCCTTTAATTTTGCCAATTTGCTAAAACAGATTAATGTGTCTACTTCTTAAGAAACTGCTAGTAGGGGACTTATGTTATCTGGTATGTATATGTCTACTTTGCAAGAAGTATTGCAAAATAGTTAAGAACACTACCTAGAAGCTAAGATTACAAAAGTTTGTTAAAAGTTGGCATTGGGAAAAATCTTATGAAATTACAAACATTTTGCAGTCTGAAATTAATTGAAAAATATGCTTTGCAAGATGTATGAAAATTATAATACAAAAATAAGGCAAGTGAAGGAGGAAAATGGGACTCAAATATACCTCATGCCATCTGCTTGTATTCTGTGAGGGGTTGCCAAGGCAGGGAAGAAGCTGAATTGCTTATCCGCATGATTGAGGATACAACTACATAGGCAAAACATGTGGGAAATGCTACAGGATTAGAATTATCTGATTTGCATATTTTTACATTGACCACATGATGCAAAAGGAAATAAGAATCAGTCCAGACTCCTCTTCATCCATAGTTTTTCCCTACACCACTGGAGCTTCTTCTTTATTAACAAATGGATCTATTCACATCAGTTCAAGCGGTGTGATCACTTGAACTACTTCAGAAAAATGTGTGCTAGTATTGACTTGATTACATACTGGCTGGGTGTGGGAGCAATGAATCAGCCCAGAAAGACTGGATCTTTGCAAATAATTACTTCTTCTTGGGGAAAAAACCCAGCTAGGTGCCAGTGCTGTTTCACTAGGACAGCTAACCCCCCCCCCGAAAGAAAATAGATAACCAGAGGAGGAAACAAGACAAGGAAACAGCCACATCACTCATTTACAGCTTATTAGGTAGTACTTCTGTAACCATACCCCCAGGGCTATAAGAGAGCTACATTAATAAAGTGCAAACAAGGCTGTCAGTGAATTTCCTCCTTTACCTGGGTGGCCAGTTAATGCAGACAGAGCCAGAGAAACCCAAATTCTTCAGTATGACTTCACAGTGAGTGACTTTGCATTTTCCTTGCTGTGTAGTCACACCCTGAATTGCTTTGAGTATGGACACTGCTTCTAATCCCAAACATTCAATAATGTGAGTTAGTTCCTTACGTGCAATTGCAAGGTGATGCCTGAAGCAGGTTCTGACTGAATGTTAACTCTTGTCTAGTTTGATTGGCGTCTTTCCTTGCAGAGACACAATTGCCAGTCCAGTGATAAGTGAGGCATTATCTATCCTGTTCCTTTTCAGTGCATTATACAACCAATTCCTTCTATTGTGTGGAAATGCCAAAACAAAATCCAATAGAGAAGAATAAGTCACACAAAAGACGAAGGAAGGAAATGCTTCTGAACATAAAAATAAATCTTGGAACAGGACTGTAATTAAAACTTTATAGAACAACAGAGTTGTACAGTAAACATACACACAGCGGGAGGGAAATGGACAGACAGAAAACAAGGGACTTTAATTGTGATGACAGCTTTGAGTGTCCTATGCTGTGAACTGTATGGCTTGGTACTCTTGGACTATGTCTGTGTGCCCACTTTCAATGATGGAACTATCAAGCACTGGCTGAATGCCAGCCCTTAAGCCAACCTCTATAATCAGCACTAAATCACAAGATGATTGCCCATTGCTGCTATGCATTGATGTGCAGCTAAGCTAAGCTATCTCTGTTCTAAACTGATGCTGTTGATAATGGGATCATCTCTATAAATTTGTTCTGTGCCATGGCATCAGACATAAAACACCATGGCTGCCAGCCATTTTGTCTGTATAACTACCTCCAAAATCATAGACAGCATAAGAACATTTTTAAAAGCCCTGCTGGATCAGACCAAAACATTCTCTTCTCACAGTGGTCAACCGGGTGCCAGTGGGAACCAAGATATGAATATATGCAGGACTGAACTACAATAGTACCCTCTTGCTTATATTACCGAGCAACTGGTATTTGAGAAACAGTTTCAGTGCTAGAGATCATACAATCATCCTAACAAGAGCTTTACTCTGCATAGCAGCTCCTGGAGAACAACAGTATGCCATGCTTAGGTGTGGCTTGGAGTGCATAACTGTGCTTAGGTCACCCATTACTGATCTTGCTCGTGCCTTTCCCGGAGGTTCTGGGTGGCCTTTGATGTGGTCCAGCAGGATTTTTCTTATTCTCATGTCTCCCCATGACCAGTGGTTTATCTGGTTAAAACAACAGAGTAATAAGAGTTGCAAGGGATTTGAGAGACAATAAAACCACCCTTCTGCCAATCTAGGAAATCCATTGTACAGTATCCCTGACATTTTCAGGGGATGTTTTATTTTACAGTCATGTCATCTTCTGGTTGCTGCACAATGGTGGAGGGTGGGGTTTCACTTAACTAGGGTTTTTTTTTTTTTGGGTAGGGCTTATACTATGAGCATCCTGAAAAATACTAAGGCTTATTTCAGGTTAGGTCTTTTTTTCAGGGAAACAGGGTATCCTGTTGCCCCCCCCCCAGCTAGCTGGGTACTCATTTTACTGACCTCAGAAGGATAGAAGGCTGAGTCAACTTTGAGCTCAATGAACTCAAGACAACACACATGGCTCTCCTTCTCCCCACTTTATCCTAAGAATCACCCTGTGGGGTTGATCAGTATTTGATAATGTGGCCCCAGCTGATGGTAACAAATGCTAATGATGAGAAATAAAGGATGGTACTTCTGTCCCGTCAAAAGTTGTCTGCCAGGGAGGCCAAGGCTGTCTGAATCCAGTCGCCAAGTTAGATGCCAAGATCCAGATAATCACACAGTGATAGGATGGTAGCACTGAAAGGGACCCAAGGGTCACTGAGTCCAACCCCCTGGTGAAGCAGATCCAACATAAACAAAAGAAAAATAAAAAAGACAAAAACATTGTGGCACCTTAAAAACAAACTGCTATATTGTAATGTGAGTTTTCATGGACAAGTCCACTTCCTCAGACCTCTGTCCTTAAGGTTCCACCACATTTTTGTCTTATTTATAATTTTTCTTTTGTTTTGGTTGAACGTGCTAGCACCGACTAACACGGCTACGTCCTCTAAAACTGTCAAACCGGGAAATTCAGGGGGAAAGTATCTCTGGCAGCTGGCCACCCAAGCACTGTTCAGGAAGTTCCAATGAAAAAGAGCTCACCAACCTCTGAAGTGGTCCATTCCGCTGTTGATCGGCTCTTACTGTGAAGTTCTTCTTAAAGTTTAGGCAACATTTCCTTTCTTGTAATTTGAACCCATTAATCAATATAATCAAAACTGCTCAGAGCTGAAACAGCAATCTGCTCCAGCATATTTCCAAAAATGTCAAGTTTGACATTGGAGAGTAATTCCTCAAATCTGCTGAATCCAAATTGTTAGTTTTTAACAGCAGAAGGAGAATGCTAGTGTGTTAATCTCCTGCTTGCACAATTCTCATAGGCATCTGGTTGCCCACTGTGGGGGGAAAAGGTTGCCGAACAAGACATCCCTTTGGTCTAATTCAGTATGGCTCTTATGTTCACTGTTCTTTCCCAATGGTTTTTTTTCTCAGTTTTATTATTTCAGCAGCCTGGTGAGATAGACTCTACATCAGCAGGGGCAGAGAGGACAAGGAAGCATCGATGGGATGGACAAGAAAATCTGTAGGACAGAGAAACAGGGGGAAAGGGGAGCTATTAGATTATTGCAGTAGAAAAGAGGGACACCTGAGAAATGAGGGTGAGGGACGGCTTTGCACCCACTCTGGAGTAAGAAAACAACAGAAGGGTGGCAATAACCGGCTTTCAGTTCAACTTCTGATGTTGATAACTCTGCACAGTTATGGGGTATTTTGGAAGGGTGAAACAAAATACTGTGATAGTGCAGAAACATCTAGCAGCATGGTCTTTCTCTTCAAATAGATATAGTTTAGAGTTTGCTTACTTTTGAGCAAACCTACACTGTAAGACTGTACAGAGTTTAAATATAATTAGATTTAGAACTGGAAATTTTTTTTCTTTAATTAGTCTAGAAGTTTAGAGCTCTTAAGTTAATAATCAAACAGTAAAATGTCCCTTAGAAGAATCTGAACTCCATAAAAAGATTCCCCTTGACAATTTTGTCCAGTCATGTCCGACTCTAGGTGGCGGTGCTCATTTCCGTTTCCAACCCATACAGCTAGCGTTTGTCCGCAGACAATCCTCCGTGGTCACGTGGCCAGCGCAACTAGACACGGAACACCATTTACCTTCCCACCCAGGTGGTACCTATTTATCTACTCGCATTTTTGCATTTTGCATGCTTTTGAACTGCTAGGTTGGTGGGAGCTGGGACAAGTGACAGGGGCTCACTCCGTCACGTGGATTAGATATTATGACTGCAGGTCTTCTGACCCTGCAGCACAGAGGCTTCAGCGGTTTAATCCACAGCGCCACCAAGTCCCTCCATAGTTCTCTCCAAAAAGTCCTTGAACATCCCTATGTGAGAAAGGAGAGTGCTAATCTCTGCCTTCTATGAATGCCAACAATCAGGTCTGACAAAGATTGTGCAAGCAGATTCTGAAAGTTGTTTCTGCATTTTGAACAGAACTATCAGTATATATATTTATTATCTATCAAAAATTTTTTAAATTGGGATGAGTTGGGGAGAGAAAGAATGACTATTGGCAAGCACCAATTCAGTGAAGTATAGCAAGACCAATAACATTAAAACACTTACTTGTATGTTTATGGATGTATC